TTGATTATTTATAAGGTCGACATGTTCCAATGAAAAAAGCATATAAATTTGTCACATCCAAACATTTACATTACTATTAATTTAATATAACAAACAAAAAAAAAATAATCGTTACCATCAATTGCAAGAGTGAGATAATATGAAAGAGATCTAATCAAAGTTGTCGATGTTTTTTAGAGGTAAAAGAATCAGCAAGTATTTTCATTCTCGGAGTACTAGAAGTAGTGATCAGAAAGAGAAGAGACAAAATCCACCATAATCCAGCTCCCCTCACAACGGACAACTTGCCATCAGGTCATCATTTCCCCACGGTCGTCTCCAATTCTATTCACATCGCAATATGATTGCCTGCTTACTTTTATTTCATTTTCTGTCAGAGAAAAGCAAATAGTGCTTCAAAACCATGTTTCTGTCCAAAGTCACCACAAAGCTGTAAGAAATTAACAGGAAGTCGCGTATTGTGAAGGGAAATCCTCTAGTCAAGAATCTTGACTTCAACTCCAAAATGTCAGAAAACTAAAGTCATAATAGATGAATATGTAATGAAATTGTGACAATGTTATGATGGAGATTGTATTGACATTGCAGCGTTCTAGAAAGCTACTGGATTAAACTATTTTCAATGTCCATCAAAATGTTAAACAGCCATGTCTCTTTTTGTTTTTTTTTTATTTGTTAGTCCCTTTTTTTTCATCCTAATAATCAACGAAAAGTAAATCTTCATGCAAGAAAATTATATTTTTCCGAGAGAAAAGAAAAACCAATTAAAATTGGAAAAACTATTAGAGCCATGCCTACGGGATTAAAATATGAAAGATGATGTACTTTCTGTTGCTAATCTTAGGAAGATTATTTTATTCTATCTATTTTAAGACACATTTCTTTATCATCCTTTTTCTTAATCTTTCAGAATTGCAATAAGGAAGTATTTCATATATTATAACAAGTCATGATTAATATATGGTCAGTGATGCGGAGCGGAGGGTAGAGGGGCGACGTTTTGATAGGGTTTGTCACGTTTGTGATGATAGTAAATCGTGTAAATTCTATAATTAAATATACATATATAATATCAATTATTTTTGCATATATAGATGGTTAGCACATGATTCTGTTGAAGAAGATCTTACAGCTAAATATGGCTTATTACCATGGGCACTTCAAACAAATGATGGTCGTCCATCAGTTGATTTAAAAAATGATTTTAAAAGATTTTTATCGAAAAAAAATGATCTTTGGACTCGTATGAGCTTTCGAGCTCGAGTTAAACAAGATGAATGTGATGAAGTAAAAAGAAAAGAATTTTTTAAAATAAATTTTCATTTAAAATATTTGATTGAATATAGATTATGCTTATACAACCAAATCATTGGATTTGGCAAAGAGAACGATCAACTGATTATAATAAAAAAATGGCTTTATTAAATCGAAAACAAAAAAATGATACATTAAATACAGAAAATAGTTGTTCATCATCTTTATCAATATCACCTATTGAAAATACAAAGTAAGTTAAAATTAGAATTTTTATTAGTTTTTTTTTTAATCGAATTTTATTTCCTCAAAATTACGAATTTTTTATTTGTTTTTTTTTTTTAAACTTTCTTTATTATTTCACCCTATTCGTATGTACAGATCAATCATGATTGTCGATAATATAAATCAAAATAATTTTTCTTGGACAAGTGATGATGAAATCGACGAGATAATTATCTTGGATTAATTTATTTTTTTGTTTTTTTGTTTTGTTTCTTTTCACAGGAAAAATATTCTTTACTTTTGTTTGTTATGTGTGATATATTTAGGAACTATGTATATATATATAAATATATTTCTTTTGTTATTTATTTGAAAGAAAACAAGATGATATTCAGGATTAAATTTATATCAAATAAATAAGTAGAAAAATAAAAAATATATTTTTTTTTTCTTTTATTTAGTTCAGTGAATAATCATAATGGACAATCTGTTCCACTCAATGTATCTATGGATGATGAAGATTGTTGAAATATATTAGTTCAGCTTTTTATTCTTTGTATTATTTCAAATGTTCTGTTTTATTTTATTTTTTTTGAGTTGAAAATATAAAAAGTCAGATTTTAGTTTGCAAGTTTATTAGTAAAAAAAAGAATTAAAAATAATAATTTTTATTTGTATTAAATATGTTCGTTAAATAATATATATGTTAATTTGATTTCTTTTTTTTTATTTTATTAATATATATGCAATGTGTTTTAAATCTCGAATGGAGTTTTAATATGTTATTTTTATTCTCAGTTATAAAAATGTGTATGTTTAATATTTGTTCTGTTTATTATTTTATGTTAAATAATAGAATATGAAAAAATGTGATAATAGAAAAAAAAAAATCTGTTATGTATGTTGAATTAGTTTAAATGATGATATAGAAATTGTGTTTTAATGTTGAATTAATAAAAATTAGAAAAAATGAAAAGTGAAAAATTTATTCAATTGTAGACAAGTAGAATTCATTGAATAATTTAATAGGTCATAGAGTTATTGTTTTTCTAGTCTTATCAAAAATTTTGATATTTGAGAAACACAAATTCTTGTTTTTTTTTAAACAATAATCTTTTATCGATATTAAATTTCTAATCCATATGCACAAATTTCAATAGTCATGTTTATCAGATTATTAAGCAAAGAAATAGCTTGGAAAAATTCTTGTCAAAGAAATAGAATGATAATTCAAACAGCTTGGTATATGGAACACTATTAAGGATCGTTATTCAACGGTTAAACAGTATATTTTATAATCTACATTTTTGTAGAGTTCATTATATTTTTCTGTACTTGATGTTTTGTAATTATTGTTATAGAATATCTTGAGATTGTCAATTGATAGATTTGATTTACAGTACAATATGCTGAAAACAATGAGACCATCTATAGAAAGATGAATATTTATTGAAATAAATAATAATGCTTGATCAACATAAGTATGAACATAGAAAAATAATTGAAATATTGTGCTCATTTAAAGATAATTGGATTAGGTTTCGACGATTTGTCGCATATATGAAACAAATCAATTTAATAGATTTGACTAAGGACTTAAGACTAAATGAATTTATGCTACTGGAAAAAAGTCTTCTATTAGTTTAACTTGTTGCATAAGATAATAATAAAAGAGTGTCATCGGGTACAGAGAAATTACAATAGAACATTTTACTATATGACTTTTGCTGACGAATTTTGTTACGTGTACAGATATGACGAATAGATATAGAATAAATAATCATGGTCAACCTAAATGAAAGTATATAGGCTGTTTTCAGCAGGAAAACATCCGAGATGGAAAGAATTATGACGTAATCTTCCGAACCAGAAAGTTTCCGGATTTTCCCATTGACTTCCGATCAAATTCTAGATGTATTCAAAAGTAAAAAATTTTTTTCATTTTTCAATTGATATAATTTAGTAAAATTAGTCTTTCTTTTCTTCCGAAAATAACAAGATTTTGTTTTTCTAAATTATCATGTAACAAAGTTTTATTGTTATAATCATTTATTCATATTCATAAAATATACGAAAACAAAATTTATAGATCTATTTTCATTGATGGTTTTTTTCTCCGGTATTAATTGCTTTGAAAAATAGCTGATGCTATTCAAAGTATATATGTTCAACAACTAAGTCATACACTACCTTCTATATTCAATGACTTAGATAAATCATTCAGCAGTATTCAATCACAAGATGTATTAGCTCATGTGATGATTACAAAAATACAAAATAAAAACTTACGAGGGAACCTTTCCAAATTGGAAACCACTTTTGAGTTCAAATTCTATACATAAGGTAGAACCCAATGAGGTATTTAAAAATTTCATAAAGAAAAGAGCTCGCAAGTCTTTTTCTATAGAGTTATAGCCATTTTACTGAGATTTTAGCTTAAAGCACAGTATATACAAAACAATCAAATGACGATATTTTGATCTGGTATTTTGCTCATAGATAACTCTACTTGTAATTAGAATATTCTGAAACTTTCAGTTCAAAAGAATGTACTATTCACGAGATAATGAATTTCTAAAAAAAAACACATCAGATTTTTGGATCTGTCATGAAACATGAGTGATTTTTAAGAATTCAATATCTTGTGAAGAGAATATTCTTTTCAACTGGAAGCTTCAGGATATTCTAATAATTACAAATAGACCTTTATATGAACGAAATGTTGAGTGCAAACTATCATCATTTGATTCTTTTATATATACCGTGCTACAGGCTAAAATATCAATAAAACGTCTGCAACTCTGTAGGAAAAGCATAGGGATCCATATTCTTTAGGGATTTTTAATACTTTAGTGTAATCTGCTTTACCCACAGAGCTGAACTCACAAGCAATCTTTAAGTTGAAAAGATTTTCTCATAAATATTAATTAATTTTGATTTTAATACCGATAGAAGTGATCTTCCTTCACGTATTCTGAAAAATTTATATTTAGAAAAATTTTTTTATAAGTATGCATTTGTGAAATGTATAAGAAAACAAACTGATATTCAGATAAAAAAATCCATTAAAAATATATGAACATAACCATCAATATCTATTTTGGTTATCACCATGTAGTAATAGTATTGATTGTCATCGAACATATGAAGCACTTGATCTTGATATAATATCAATTGTATGACATAACTCATTAAATGTTCTCTATGAAAATTAGCATGTTGTAATTATAAATAATTATGAAGAATTAAATAAAACATTTTTATATGAGAAATGAAATATTAAAAAAAGAAATTATTACAACAAAATGTATATCAATATAAAAAATTACATTATGCTATTAAATGCTGTTGAATATTAAATAATTCAAGACATAGAAATAGAGAAAAAAAAAGAACTTTTCTCAACATAGAAAACAATGTTGGAATGAAGAAAATACAATTAATTTAAAATGTTTCCAATTCTTTTCGAACAATATAAAATAATATAATAAAAAAAGAAATAGAATTTAATAAAACTATTTTTAGATTTTATTATCGTCTTCATCGACATAGTCTAGTTTTTCACCAAGTTGAACTTCATAATGTTGTGCTAAATCAACATTTGTTTCAGTCATTTCAATATCAGCAGCTGGTGGAACAAGATGAGACGCTGATGAACATGACCATATTGTATAAATGAGTGATGCCGTAAATACAGATAAAACAGATAAACAAACATGATAACCAAATTGTTGCATTCGAGGTAAAAAAATAATAAGTACATAACGAAGTAAATCAAAAAATTGATTAAGTGAATGTTGCGTACCACCAATACGACCACGAATTTTTTCTGGTACACGTTCTTGTTGTAATTGATTAACGGTTAAATCAGCAATCCATAAACCTAATTAAAATAATTAAAAAAAAAGTTAAGATAAAATTTTATCTAAAGAAAATTTACCAAATCTATTCAGAGTTATACCAATAACAAGTAAAAGTACAGATAATTTCGAATTTGAACATTGATATGGTATTAAAGTTGTTGTACTATTATTTTTAGTTAATATTTCATAATATTGACATGAACCAATTGTTAAATGTTGAAATGGACCAAATGATGTTCCATAAACAAATAATGATATTAAACAAAGAATTATCATTGAAAATTCTGACCAAAAACCAATAATACCTGTACGTACAAGACCTGTACATTTAACAAAAAATGGATAAGCAATGGTACCAATAATACCAAGAATTGATCCTAAACCATTTAATAAACCTAAAAAAGCTTCTGATAAACCTTGTTCAATAACATAAGCTAAAATATAAATTTCATAATATAGTAAATATATATATATATATATGTATATATTTAATTTAAATTTCTATTAAATATTTACCTCGTGTAACAGAATCAAAACTTAAAACAGTCATATACAGTAATGCAAGTGAAAGTCCAGGTAAAAATACTGATAAAGATGCATATGTTTCTAAACCTTGTAAGGATGTAAAGAACCTAAATAAAATAAAATTCTTTGTTTTGTTTTTTGAATTTGAAGTCTTTACTGTCTTAATGGTCCTTTTTTCTTTTCAGTTAATTCTAAATAAGAAAAATAAATAAATAAAATAAAAATTTATCACATTATATATAACTCCTTTTTTTTTCTAATTTACCTTCATTAGATTTATTAACCGATACTTTATTAGCTAATACATCTTCAGCTAAATGATAAACTCTTGTATATAGGAAAAGTTCGAAACCAAGTGAAACGACATTCCAACCAGCGATTAATACAGCACTAAGCCATCGTGATGTAAATGCCATAATAGCACCTGTTAAAATCGGTGCTAATACATTACTAATAAGATCGATTCGACGAAGCGTTGCATTAGTGTCTATTCTGATTAAGAATTACTTAAGACACAGAATAATGGGTGATGGGAAAGTTTTTAGACAAAATGTTTGTTCACTTTTGGTTGACTAAAAAGTATCAAAAACTATCAGTTAGAACCAAAATTTTGTACGCTTGTCGACTTAGAATTTTCTTTTTGTCTTAGTTTTTTTGTTGTTGAGAGTAATGAACTATTCTTTGAAAAGCTCAAAAAATTAGTATGAACGGAAAATGTTTTGTATTCTTATTATTGTAATTTGAAATTAAAAGTTGGAATCTTTATTTATAGATCAGCTTGTAGATGAGAACTTGCCCTACAAAATGCATTATTTGAAGTTTGTTTTTGTCTTTCGATAATGCATCTCAATTTTTGTTTTTCTTAAACAATCATTTTTGAAAAATTGATAACAGTTTTACGTTGAAAAAATCTCTTTGAAAAATGCTTGTAGTTTCACTTGAGTAAAAGCTATAGCTTAGTATACTATCACATTTTGTAGAGAAGTGTCTAGTCTACAAAATAGCTGATTTCGACAATTTTTATCATACTCAAATAGGAACTTGTAGGGCAAAAAAAAAAATATGTTGGCTCACCATTAAAAATAATTTTTCAGGTCTCTCACTACTCTAGAAAAAAAATAGACAGAACATTTTTAAACCTATACTCAAATTCTGGTTGCGACTTTTAGTTTTTGGTTTGTCTGAAATTCTTTCAAGTAGACCAAAATGAGCAAACATGTTCATCCGAAACGTTGACGTATAAGTTCCATCCAAACTAATATTTTGAGTTTTTCAAAGATTCTTTGACTACTTTCAAGCAAAAAAGCTGAGCCAAAATTTCTAAGGAGGAACCTAGTTGAGATAACATCTCGCGCTTAACATGAGACTCCTGTCATTACCTGGGACTTGTTGAGACTAGAAGAAATCTAGATAGATTCTTCCTCACGTACTGACTTTTTGAAGCTATGACCATTACACTGAATTTTTTACATTGAACACATTACTTATAAAACAAATTGTACAAAAGAATTTTGGCATAAAACTTTGCCTATAACCAGCTCTTGAAATTATTAGAGTCTCCTAAAAAGTTTCAACCAAAAAGAGTAGTCTCTACTCGACATATCAAATTCAAAAAATACTATACTTTCTTTCCTTTTGGTAGGATGTAGGTCTTCTCTAAATCTATATCCACATCTTTTAAATCATAGCTTTTGACACATCGGAGATACTTTCTAGCTAGTCAAAAGTAAACAAACACCTTGTCTAAAAGCTTTCTAATCATCCATTAAGACAATGAAAAAAGAAATTTACTAGCTAAATTTTGTCGATTAGAACCATATAATGCGACAACCCAATCTTTTGATATTGATACTTTACATGCTACACTAGATAATGTTGCTATCATACCAATTCCAATTAAAAAACCTAAAATATTCAAATAAATATTTTTGATAATAAAAATAGACAATTAAAAAATGACCTTGAATTATAATCATCCAATATTGTGGAAGAGAAGATTGATAATATAAAGCAATAACAACTAATACAGCCATAACAGCAACAGATAAATTTTGAAAATATAAAGATTTTCGTAGTGCTTAAGAAAAAAATCAAATGAAGTTTTCTTGTTCTTAAAGAAAACATAAATATTTTTTACTTGATAAACGAGGATTACGATCAATCCAATCACCAATAGCTGTAGCAAATAAAATAACAGCTAAATTAAGTGCAATACCATTAAGAGCTACACTCAAAAGATTAGTTGGATTGAGAGAAATAAAATAAATACCAACAGAAAAATTCCACATACGATCACCCTATACAAACAAATAATTTATTACTCATCAAAAAATATTAAATAATTCAATTGTCTACTACAATACAAGTACTTACCCAAGCTGAGAAACCCATTGCAATATAAAGCAATATTTTTGTTTTATCTAAATATAATTTTTATATAAGTATGAAATAAAAATTAATCAAATTGACTACCATATTTTGATTTATTGGTTTTATCGACATCTGAAGAAGTTTCGGTTAACGGTGGATCTGTCATAGTTGTCTACAACGTGATACACTTATGAATAACAAAATTATATGTTTTGTGCGAGTTAGAACACGCAAAAACAAACGTTGTTCTTTTCACACAAAAGAGTCATGTGTGGTTAATGATAAGACATTAAGTATATAGTGCATTTGATGTTATATATTTATTTTACTTTGAAAAAAAAAAGATTTATTGCTCTCCTTTTTTGTTATTTCTTTTTTTTAAACACGACAATGTAATCACAATAAAAGGATGAATCCGTTATCTAACAAAACATTATTCTTTTTGTTTTTAACATTCCAATTGAACAGAAGAATGTTACATAATCATTTGTTCGGATGATCAATTTTGATAGATTATTATTTATTATGAATTCTTTTTTTGATTATTGTTATGATTACCATCTTCGGTATATGTAAACACTCGTACATCATCTTCAATACTTCGTTGTTGTAGAAAGATTTTGAACATACGTGAAAATGCAAATAGAATTGATTCATCATTACAACGAACTAAATCAGGAAATGCTTTACGAAAATGTATTGTTGCTTCTTCTATTAAACAAAAACAAAAACTTTAAGAAAGTTAATCAAATAATAAGTTCATACCTAAATGATAATGAGGTACTTTAGTAAAAAGATGATGAATTTGATGTGTACCAATAGAATGTAGTACTGAATGTACATAACCGTAATTACGATCAATAGTTGATAATTGTCCTTTTACATTATTCCATTCAGAATCAGCATACCAGGGTATATCACTAGAACAAATTGATTAAAAGTTTTTTTTTTTTATAATAGAGATGTTTTAAAACTTGCTCATTTATTAAGGATGTTTTTAGTTTTATTGCTAGACTAGAGATATGCATGACCACAATTAAGATATAAGAAAGGAATCATTCCAAGTGTCAAATCGCTTTTGACCGAGATGATGTTCATTTGATGAGTGCTAGTGAGTGATAGAAAAGTCTAGAATGGTTTGGTTTTCTGAGTCTTCGTTCTTGAACTATCGAAATTTTACTGGATTTTTTAACAAAAAGCTATGGTCTCCCCCTCAGATCACTGGGAAAATCGAATTTCGAGTTTCGACTTCAAACTTTGCACGAGCAAAGTTCTCAATAAAATTTATGAATAAAATTGGCGTTTTACACATGAGAGATTTCCGAGTGTTGAATATCTCAGAATAGGAGATACTAGAAAAGTTACAGCTTGTCCAATGAACTAATCTCATTGAGAACTTTGTTTGTACCAAATTTGAAGTCGAAAGTCGATTTTCCATTTGAGCACAGCTTTTGGTTGAAAAACTCAGTAAAATTTCAATACCCCAAGAACGCAGACTCGAAAAGCCGAGCCGTTCTAGACTTTTCTATTACTCACTAGTATTCATCAAATGAATAACGTTTCAGTCGGAAAGCGATTTGGCACCTAGAAAGGTTTCCTCGTAAGATCTTAGTGCGATGTTTTATTATTTATGTGCGAACCTTTGGAAGAGAAAACCCAAAAAAATGCTGCATTTATTAGTTGAAGAAATACTGAGTGTCCAGAAAGTCACGAAACAGATACTAAAATGTGGATATCTTCACTGCGCTCTAACCAAATGAGCCGATTCTTTTCTGAGAACAGAGGACTGTTGCAGGTTTTTATTCATATATAGACAGCTTATTCTTTATTGTGTTCCCCATCTTTTTCATTTCTGTCAATATGAAGAGAAACACAAAAGCTTTTTCCAAATAACAACAAAAACATACGCATCCAAGCAAAAAAAATGCGTCTTCTCTCTTTCTTTCTCCGAGGCATTTCCTTTCTTTCGTTTGCGATGACATACCGATGTTCTCCTTGAGAGGGATACACCGAAAGCGACGATATACGAAAAGAAAAAAAAAATTAAATATAGTACACGATAGAAGAGCAGATAAAGCAGAACACTGCATAAATACACAATTAAGAAAGTATAAGCAACTATCTAAATATGTATCATGACCATTGATCATAGTATTCTTTCGTGTGAAAATAATACCACTAAAATCTTGCAATGTACATTACTAAACAATTGTGGATACCTATGCTAATAATGATTTTATATCAAAATTGATTTACATTATTTACTTTATCACATTATAGAGATATGCCAAAAGCTCGAACCACGGAAGAAAGAATCGCAATAGTACGATTTTTTTCAAAGTCTGACAAAATGCATGAAGTTCAAAAACAATAGAAAGATCACTTTAATACGACTCTTTCAGCAGTATTCACGATTTTATCAGTGAATTGGAGGTTTGACGAAACAAGAACAGTTGAAGAGTTACCATGCAGTGGTCACCTGGCAACTGTCTTTTCAGAAGAGAAGCTGGAAGAGTTCGAAGAAATGGCCATTCAAAATTCACCACTGTGTATTCGGCAAGGTACTGCTGAAGCTGGTGTTAGCAAAACTACCTACCAAGTGGCCATGAAGCTATTTGACTTCAAACCTTATTGTCCAACTTTGATCATAAATCTCAACGACAATGATTTCGGTCGGCGCAACCGTTTTTGCGAAATATAACTCTAAAAATTCAAATATGAATCTGATTTAATTGATAAAATTTTTTAAAACGATGAAGCCAAATTCAACATTAGGCTAAAAATTCAGTAAAATAACCATAATTCGAGAAGAAAAACCTAATGGCATGAAGCCTTTCAAGACATTTTATCTATACTATGAAAATATAAGCTCAAATAGAAGGCATTAGTTGAAGATATTCTTTCTCGCTAGTTCTATTCTCTATAAAATCTCAAATATGATACATTACATTTCTGTATGATGTAACATCGTTATAATAACCATATAACAGGCAAAAATAAATACTGGTATTAAATGATAAACAAGTAAATTAATGAAACCAAATGAACTTGCATAAAGATACATTAAATAGCACTAAAAGAAAAAAAAACATACAATTAAAAAAAATCTTTATTTTGTTTTTTTTTTAAATATATACCATTCCTAAATATGTACCGAGTGAAGAACAAGCACCAACGAAATGTCGATTATAGAATAAGGATTCAAACTTAAATAAAAAATGAACAATATTTATTTCTTTTTTAGAAAAAAAAAACAAGACTTATTTACTGGATTAAAATGATTAATTGTTCTTGGTGCATAACCATTTATTAAATAATAAAACCAACCAATACCCGGAAACCAAAAGAGAATATCATCTAATAATGATGGTTCATAATATATACCACGTTGTGGATAAAAAATCTCATCTTTATCAATATTACATGTATTCTTATGATGTTTATTATGGGTAAGCTAAATCAAAAATATTAATTTCAATGTTATAATAACAATATGAAATTCTTCTAATGAGTATTCCAGAATCAATTGCATTAAATCTTCATGCTTCTTTCTCTTACTTCATAAGCATAAAAAGCTTTCTATATATGCCAAAATATATAGAATTTATGTCTTCACAACCTTTGCAAAGTTTTGGATTTTTATGTTTACGAGAAAAAAAAAACTTGAAACTAACAACTGTCAGTAATTGTGAATGTTAATTTTGAACGAAACTGTGATAAAGATTAAATTGAACAGCAGAAATATTTAGGTTATTTCGAATTATAAAAAAAAACAAGAATGTCATAAGTTTATCAAAAAAAAACTTATACGAGTTTTCTGAAAGCCTGGGGTCTCTACGAAATAGACATATTAAAAATTGGTACTTTTCTATTATCCCGACCACCCTCACCCTCACTCTGCGGTGATCGGGATAACAGGAAAGTACCGAGAAACTGTTTGAAAAATAAAGTCGACAACTTTTTTTATGATTAAGAAATGAGAGAAAACTACACTGAGATTTGATGCAATTTCTTCTAGGACACCAGTTATATTACCTTCCATGTATAATATGGTGCTAATATCCAAGTGTGTAAGATAGTTCCTAAATAGAATTTAATTTATTTTATTGATAATTATATATATATTTAGTTATTACGTACCAATAATATCATTTAATAATTGATATGAACTAAAACTTCCATGTCCACAATCATGTCCAAGTACAAAAAGTGATGTATAAAGAGTACCTAAGAATAAATTAAATAATAATAAATAATTGATTTTAAAAGAGAGAAAAAAAAACAATTAAACCTTGTATACACCAATAAATAGGAAAAAATAAAAAACCATATTTAAATATGTTTTGAATTTGATACATGACAATAAATGTTAATATAACATAAATAATATCTTTAATAACATAACTCATCGATTGACGAACTGTTGGACGAAAACAATGAGATGGTATTTTAAGTTTGATTTCAGATAGTGTTGGTAATCGATGAGGTAATGTTGATAATGATGTTAAATCTGATTGTTGATTATCATTACTTTTAATAAATGTATTATGTCCACCTTTTCCCATCTTTATTTTAGTTTGAACTAAATCTTAAATACTTAAAATGGCATGGTAAGTTTTATTTTCTTGCTCTTATAAAAACAAAAGTTCATCTGAAATGCTATGCACTTAAAAGAAATTTATTTTTCAGCATACAAGGTCATTATTATCAAAATTTGAGATTCAAAAGTAAGTTATATTGAAGTCTTCTTTTATTTATTCATAAGATTTTATTTTAGGACATATACGTTTCTCAAAAAACAAAACGAAATGACCTTGTAATAAAAATACTGCTTCAATCAGCGTTCATTGATAGAATACAAAGATGTCGCCTATTATCATTCAAATTTAATGACGTGAATGTGTTATCGACGTGAAATGATACGATCGCTACTTCAAATAGACGCACACAGGTTTTCGTGGGGTCGTTAAAAGGTTATTTTCTTCTTTTATTTCGTTTAGTATAACATATAATACACTAAGAAAGCATGGCATCTAACAAAACGGAATCTACTAAAGGTAACTATAACTGTCATAAAAAAAAGAATTTTTTTTGTTAATTTTAAACTATTTTCTGTTAGTACCACAAATTTCATCTGCAAATAAAGATGAAATTTTATCTGTATTTCATCGTTATGCAAAACATGATCATCGTGATGAACGTTATATGACACCACATGAATTTTTACAAGATTATTTAGGTTATTTAGAAGGTGATAATATTGATCCAACAACACTTGATATACTTGCATCCTTAGTTGATTTAAATAAAAATCAAAGTTCGTTCTTAATAATAATAATAATAAATAAATAAATAAAAACTGATGAATTCATTTTGTTTTTTGCTTGTCCTTTAATAGAAATAACAATAGATGAATTTACTAAATTTGAATCATTATTATTAGCACCAGATTCATTATATCGTCTTGCTTTTCAATTATTTGATCGTCGTGGACAAGGTTTTATAACATTTGATGATTTTCAATATATAATATCAGCAACAAAACAATTTAAAGAATTTCCATATAATTTTGATTCGGATTTTATTCGAATGCATTTTGGTGTTAAACGAGAACGACAAATAACATATAAAGAATTTACACAAATATTACATGGTAAGAAAAGAAAAAAAAAGAAACATGAATTATATTTTTTTTAAATTTTTTAATAATAAAAATATAAATTTGTTTTAGATTTTATTGATGAACAAACAATTCAAACATTTCGTAAACTTGATAAAACAAATGATGGTTATATATCATTAAAAAGTTTTGAAACTATACTTAAAGAAATACGACAATATCAATTATCAGATTTTATTTCAACACATTTACATGATATTGTTACATTATCATCATCAAGAGAATCACCATATCAAATATCATATCCATATTTTACAGCATTTTTACATTTATTATCAAATATTGAATCAATGAGAAAAATTTATTTAGCTGTATTTGAAAAAAAAGCACATACATATAAATCATCATTAATAACAAAAGAAGAATTTTTAACTGAAGCACAACATTTTCCACGTACAACACCATTACAAATCGATATATTATTTGCTATAACACGTTTATTACATCAACATACTTTAAATAGAGATATTACAACAGAATATATTGAATTAAATGATATTGATATAATATGCGCTAAAGAACATCTATTACCATATCGATTACGATCAGAAATTGTCGATGAACATTATAAAATTGGACATCAAAGTGTTATGATGAAAATTCTTGAAAGTGGTTACCGATTTGGACTTGGTAACAAAAAGAAAAAGAAAATTTATTAATAAATAAATAAATAAAAAATTTATTTAGGTAGTATTGCTGGTGCTGTTGGTGCTACGGCTGTTTATCCTATTGATCTTGGTATGAATATTTATTGATATTAAAAAGAAAAAAAAATTGATTGAATTTTTATTTTCTAAAAAGTAAAAACTCGTATGCAAAATCAACGAACTACAAGTATTATTGGTGAACGTCTTTATAGAAATTCTTTTGATTGTTTTAAAAAAGTTATTCGACATGAAGGTGTATTTGGTTTATATCGAGGTAAAATTTAAAATGAACGAGATTTAAAAACAAAATTCAAATAATAATAAATCATTTTAGGTTTAATTCCTCAATTAGTTGGTGTTGCACCTGAAAAAGCTATTAAATTAACTATGAATGATTTTATTCGTGATAGATTAACATTAACTGATGGTACTATTCCACTTTGGGCTGAAATTGTTGCTGGTGGATGTGCTGGTGCATCTCAAGTACTTAAAAGATCTTTTATTCTTTTCTTTTTTCTATTTGGTTTTTTATTTTGGGTACTTTTCTCATTGACATTTTTAACTTAAGGTAACATTTACTAATCCATTAGAAATAGTCAAAATTCGTTTACAAGTTGCTGGTGAAATTCAATCTGTACGTCGTCCAGCTGCAAGTGAAGTTGTACGTGAACTTGGTTTTCGTGGTTTATATAAAGGTGCTCGTGCATGTTTTCTTCGTGATATACCATTTTCAGCTATTTATTTTCCTGCATATGCTCATACAAAAAAATATTTTGCTGATGAACATGGTTATAATGATCCAAAAAGTTTATTTATTTCTGGTCTTCTTGCTGGTATACCAGCTGCTGGTCTATGTACACCAGCTGATGTTATTAAAACACGTTTACAAGTTCAAGCACGAAAAGGACAAACAAAATATAATGGTTTAATAGATGCGTTTAAAAAAATTTATATTGAAGAAGGATGGACAGCTTTTTGGAAAGGTTAATTAGAGAATTTAAATAATACAAAACAAAACAATAATTTATTTTTATTTAAATAAAATTTTAGGTGCTGGTGCACGTATGTTTCGTTCATCACCACAATTTGGTTTTACATTACTTACATATGAACTTCTTCAACGTGCATTAAATCTTGATTTTCAAGGTAGAAAATTAGAAGGTTCAAAACATATTGATCGAGAACAATATTCACCTAAATCACGTGCATCAATTATACTTTCAAGTAATCCTGATCATGTTGGTGGATTTCATTTAGCTCAAGCAACATTTGAAGGTTAAAAATTTATGTTTATATTATTGAAAAGAAAAACTTTTTTGTTTTTTGATTTTTCTTAGGTATTGAAACACGTTTTGGTTTGACTTTTCCAAGATATAAAACATCAACATCGAATGAGTCACCATCAACAATTCCTCCATTGACTAAATTACTCGGTGTTACTCCACAAATTAATACATCAAATTAGAAAAAAAAAACCAAAATAAATAGTCTTCCGATTTTTTAACAAAACTAAAAAACATCTAGATTAGACTGTAATTGTTTTCCTTTTGTTTTAGTTTAACAATGGTTTAGGATTTGTTGCTAATGTTGTAACCTGTGATTCTTCTTGTGTGTTCTACTTCTTTCTTTTTTCACTTATTTAAATGGGATAGTTATTTTTATTGTGTGTTGAGAATAACAAAACTATATGGTTTGTTAAATCAGAAAAGGAAAAAAAAAATACAAGATATGATTCTATAATAATGTTTATTTATTTTATGATTTCATCTTTTATGAAGAAGTTTTATAATAGATGTTTAAATGTCAAGAGAACTGTTTGGTTCGCTTTTTATTTTGTTTTAGTCAATTATTATTTTATAAGGAAGAAGAACAATCATGCATATATAAATAGATCTATAATAATATGCGATGGAAAAGTTTTTGAAAATATATCGAGACTCATTTCTCAATAGTCTAACATAGGATTAATTTGAGTTTTGTTCCTTGTTGGAAATAGGAAAGTCTGGATAATGAAAAATGCCTATATAGTTAACATTTTTACTTTTATTCTATTATGATAAAACTTAAATGCTGAGCAACCTTTTAAAATATCTTTGCAATATTTTCAATTGCGGGCTTCTTGACTTCACCTGTTTCAAAGTTTAAGTTAAATTCATCATGAATAGAACTTCGCAATCTTTATCATTTTATCTATATGTAGATCTGTTTTGCTTACTTGGTCGATTAGAGATTCTCTTTGATAATGTTTTCTTCGCTTGAATATTGGTATGATAAAAATTGTGAATTTACAAAACAAAATAGTGAATTCTCAAAAGCTCTGAAAAATAACTGGAAATTTTTCAAAATTTATACTTTAGATACAGTCTTTTTAGCTCTCTCTAACGGTATATTTTGGTCACAACTTGTAGACATTTGACTGATACTAATTGCCAAATAATTATTTTCGATTATTGCAAAGGTGTTTTCAGAATGTACTCGAGCAGAATAATTGAAACAGACAAAATAATTTCTTACTTTATCTATATACTCTTGAAACTTTGTTCTTTCAAACAAAAGAAAAAAAAAGCGTTATTGAAATTTGTGAAACAGTTGTTTCCATAAAAAATAGCTGTGTATGTTACTTTCATAGTTATTATTGTATTCAAAAATAAATATATATTGTGTCATGCTTGTTACAAATTAAAATATAGGATAATAATTCGAATATTACATTTATAATTATTGCTAAGTTTACATGAATCACATATTCGATTTACTAGATATAATATCATGAGTTCTTGATAGATATTTCTTGTTCAAGAACATAAATCTCAAATTTAAAGTGAATCAAACAATCGGAAACGATAATATATAAATTGTTAATTTATCTACTATTCAATGTTATCTATAGTGTCATCCATCACTTTTCTTCAGACTATCAGTTATATATATATGAAGATATAGTAATGATGGATATACTTAATCCTATTCTGGTTTTTGACTTGAATTGAAACTTGAACAAAAATTGAAATAGAATTATTAATTTACATAAATATGTAGGAAATTAATAATTCTATAACAACCGATTCCAATTTTTAGAATAGGTACATTCCTATAGCGATTAAACACGAATACGAAAGAAATGATTTATTTTTCTGAGAATAACCAAGTTCAAAGATTATAACACTACACATTTGCTTTAAAAAAAAACAACCGTTTTTCTAGCATAATTAGTAAAGACTTTAACAAGTTGAAATAAGCTTATGTCTCTCTGAGTACATAAAACACTATATCTTTCTATCTAAATATTGATATTTAAAACTTAAAGTTATAAAACGTTGAAAAACAAAATAGACATAAATATTTTGTTGAATTGTGAAAAGAAATTGACATCTAGAACATGACATCCAAAAAGTTCTAAAAATAATGAAGACAATAAATACACTAAATTAGCTCAATTAATTGTATATAGTCATATATATTTTGAAAAAGAATTGACTAAAAAATATTGTCGAGATATGGTTTATTTAGGCTATTGCAGCTGTGATAACTACATTTAAAGAAAAATCTAAAATGAATTCCACTCAAATATTTATTTTTCTAATGATTTTTATTTTTATTAAAAAGGTAAATATTGCTTCCAATTAACTGTACTTTTCGCACTCCAACATCGTTTTGTACGTTTATAAATACTCTTCTTCTTTCGATGTCTTGATTTATTCAATATTAAACGACGCCAATAAGCATTACGTAATTTTTCATATTGATAAACTTTTTTTCCTGACAATTTCTTTTTCGATATTTCATTTAATTTTTCATATAAAATATTTTCATTTAATTCTTCATAATTATTTATAATAACAACAGGTAAATTTTCATAGAGAATATTTAATGAATTATTCCATACAATTGGTATTATATCAAGATAAAGTGCTTCCCATGTTCGATGACAATCAATACCATTACCACGTGGTGATAACCAAAATGGATATTGACGATTACGTTCATATAGTTTTGGTAGGTCTTGTATTTGAACACCACCTGGTTTACTTATACATGTCACAAATGTATAGTTAGATGATTTTTTTTTCATACAGAGATTTTTCCAAATATGTGAACGAAGACCACTTTTATCAGTACCTTTATCAAAATTAATTAATACTAAGTCTTCTTTTTCTATGTTTGTAGTTAGTGCACGATTTGATACATCTTGTGGTTGAATATAACCGGATGGCTCATCTAACTCATAGAATATAGGAGATAATTTATGATCTCGTTGCTGAGAATATATACTTTGAATAGCATCAGCCATTTCATAGCAATTAATACCTGAAAATAAAAAAAATCATTGATAAAAAATAGATGTGTCTATTGTTGTAATAATAGATCTATTAATTTGTTCTCGCGTACATTTTATGAATGGGAATAAATTGATTATAGTAAAAAAAAAGAAACGCTTAATTATATGTTAATTTAGAAAACAAATCTTGTTATATTTCAGAAGAAAAGATGTATAATTAGCAATAAATTGCACATCGTATTTTTCAATTTCAAGTCAAACAATAATCTTTCTATGACTAATCTATTTTTTCTTATCAAAAAATAAAAGATTTATGTTAATAAATTACCGATTGGTATATGAGTAAATTTTTTACTTTTTGATACATCATATTGTCCATTTTGTCCAAACCAATGGATTATTTTTGAATCAGGACTTTCGAGATGTTCCATATGAACTGGTGATGATAAATCACCTTCACCAGTAACTAATACAAAATTATTTTGCAAATAAGGATAAACATGATCGAAGAATTCATTTATTACCCATATGCGTACATAAATAATACTACCATGTGGTAAACAAGGAGCAATTTGTTGTCCTTTATCAGTTGGTTTTTTTAAATGTTCATGAAATTGATCAGGCCAACCATATACCCAATCAGCAAGATTTCGAAAATTTTGTGGACAAACAAAGTCTGGAAAATGTCGAATAAAATGTGATGAATCAAATTGAAGTGTATCATTGCTTAATATACTTGAATAAGGACATAATTCAGAACAATAAGATGATTGTATTGAATTGACTTGTGAAAATTTGTAGATGTTTATTGTAATATATAAAAATAATATAACAAGAATAATAATAACATAGCATAAATAAGTCGATGGTTTTTTAATTCTTCTAGAGAACATTATACATTTTATATTTTATAAGACATTGTTATTATTGACAAAGAAATAATCTGAAAAAAAAATGAAAAAATTTCAAATATTATAGTTTTGAGATGAATTTCTTCAACAAAAAGATATAAGTCTAGTTTATGTAAATACCTATCTCTCTCACCTTCACTCTCAACAAAGGTGTTTACATAAACTAGACTCATATCATTTTAATCTTGACATGTATGAGATTCGCTTGAAAATTTTAGGCGAATCTCAGATAGGCCTAGATAAATAGTGGATTGAAAAGTTAATACAGCTAATCTCGGATTCACCTAAGCCAATCTTGAATTAGAGACTGAGTACATTGCATTTTACATGGAGATATTAGTTTAGTTCAAAGAATGTATTGAACAAAAACTGAAATAGAAAAAATGCAGATGAAATTGAATCGCCGTTTATGCTAAAGCAAGCTTCGAAAAAGTAAAAAAGCTAATTTACATCTTGATTATAGATGTGAAAGTGGAGTGAAGAGAAGAAATACATCCGCACATACACCCACACTTCTTGACATTGGCCTAGGCGAACCTTAGATTGGACGTATTGTGATTTATTAATCCGAGAACAGCTTAAATTAATATTCGTTCAATGTCGAATCTCAAATTGAACCCGTCCAAAATGAGATCCTAGATTGGCCTGAGTGGATCTGACATTGGACGCTAATGTATATATATGGGTGAATTGCATTCCATTTGTACAATTCAGACAAAAAAATCGTAAAAAAAGAAATTGTTCATATAAAAAATTAATTGTATATTTTGATAGAGCAACCTTGAAAACTTGGTGAAAAACTTGTTTTCTCTACATTTTGTTAAAAAAAAAAAGATCACCATTGAATGATCAAAAATGCATATATTGGCATTTTCACAGTATTCAGACAAGTTTTTTTTTAAATAATTTTTAATAGCATAGAATAAATCATGCATCAATCGATGTATCTCGATTAGATCTACCGAGTGATTTATTTTCGAACGTCGGAATGAATATAATCAAAGCAAAATGTTATATCCAATACATTAGTGAAAAATTGATTATTCAGAAAACAGAGTATATATTTTGTAGCTCTTTCTCTTCCTCTATTCAGCAATACTTAGTTCTGGAAGGTATACCATTAAATCGGCCTACCGATGACGAATCGAATTATTTATAATAAGTTCATAATTAACTTCCGTTTGATTGAAATATTCAACTTTCTACATGACGAAACATTTCACATATGATTTACCATTAGCTCAGCACTGGAACATATCAACAAGTTGATTTTCTCACTGCAAGTAAGAAACATTAAAAAAAGGCTATAAATTTCATGATAAACAGTCAACCTAATTAAGAGATAGATCTTAATGCAACCTGGAATTTATTTTCAGGAAAGTTGTTCCTACAGATCATCTTCATTTTAAAACTGCTTCAAGTTGGCCAACATATTTCTGTCAAGAGAAAATCGTATTTTAAGACGACGGAACAACAAAAGATAAAATGTCTATCAAGTTGATATTTTGCTTATATTTATTAAAGACAGCTTTTTTTTTACAGAAAACTGATGTCAGACTTTGATTCGATGCACTTTTTTTTTAATCTAACTGCATTGAAGAAAACGAAAAAATAAACTTTTCTTAGTTGAAAAACTTATTGTCTTCGACTAGAGATAATGCCAATTTTTGCTTTTTCTTCACTTCCATTAAGCAAAACTCGGCGTGGAAATGATGTAGACTGCTGAAATTTTCGGAAATGTGGAAAATCGCTGAGTGGAGTATTCTATGAAATTTTCAAGTCAATCGAAGCTTCCAAAGAATAGATATTTATGATTTAGTTCCGATGGTGCAATTATACAAATGGAATGCAATTCACTCATATATATATATATAATCGAAACTTATTTATGATATCAAACTATAGCTATTCGCTTATCTATGTTAACATGGCCAGAACAACTAAAAAAAAATGACAATTTTATTTTGCTCTAAGCAATAAATAGAAAGATGAAAGACTGACATTATCGGTAACATTCGATCGCTTCACATGTACCTCCATTGCTGATGCTAGAGTAAAAGATTTCGATGGAAGCACTAAAAATTTAAATACTGACACGTATTCAGTCATTCCTTTGAGTTGCCGATCTATTAACTATGTTAACACTTAAATGACGATACGAAAATAAAATGCAATAAGTTGCCAAAAAATTTGTCAAGCAATATATAAATAGAAATGAAATGAACTATAAAGAAAGAATCGATTACTACTATAAGTGAAAGAGAAAAAGTAACACTATCATGCAAAGATTAGATGGGCGGTCCACCCACATCAATGAGAAAGCTTACAGAAATAATACAGACAAGAACAAAATAGAATTGAACAGAAAAAACGAAAAAGTATATATTTCAACCTGTATATAAACGATTGAGTCATTCAAATAACCTTTTACGAACTTGACATATTTTTTAAGTATGATCACGTAATAAAATCAAACTTGTCCAGCACTGGAGTACTCGATAAGCTGAACTATTCTAAAGAGATCATGATTTACGATACCTCAAAGCACGCTGTCAAAAAAGATCGGACAAATAAAACTCATTAGAACACGTTTCTTTTTATGTCAATATCTCCATCATAAATTTTATTTTTAATTTTCTTGTCTGATAGATAAATTTTATCTTGAGTATGTTTTACGACTTATTGAAAAAAAATTTACCAAATCACAAGACTACTTGAAAATATGCGCTAATACGATATATACGAAACTATCGGCACAATACAAAGAGAGAAAGAATGAAATAAACTACTCTCAGTTTTGATGTATAATCTAGCTATTCTTCTAGTCAGAACGAAGTCAGTGGATGCAGAAAGAAGCACAAAGATTTGTTCATCATTATGATAATTATAAAGATCTATTAATATTAATGATTAGGTAAACAGAACATAATATTTCAATCGATTCTATTCAGTCAATATAGTTTATACATTTGTGCAGTGATTAAAAAAACATAGTTAATTTTCCGTTATATCATTATTAGACTTGTTTTTACTTCTCATAATGTTGAACTTTAATATATCCAATCCTACATTCTTTTTTTTTTACTTCTTTTTGATAATATAATGTTCATAATTTCCAATGCTTATTCATATCGAAAACAATAATTCAATAATTTCAATAACTCTAAGAAAAGTCGATCGTCAAATAAATCAGCAATAAATCCTTTTTTTTTTTATATTGCTGTTTATTGTTACGCTCGGAAGCGCTTACATGGGAATGAACTTAGATTTAAAATTGTAGCACGCAATAGTCTATAGCAACAAATGTAGGGGTTTCTTATTCGAGACATCCGGGTATCAAGGTACACTTTTAGCTTTTTGGGGAGGAAAAATCAGAAAGAACATAAAAAGGGAAAAAAAAGAACACAAGAAAAATCAAGGAGGCAGGATACATAAGAGAGAAAAAAAAGGCAAATAAAGAAGAAGAAATGGAGAGAAAAAAGAAGGGAGCACATAAACAAAGGCACATCGATGCACACATGGATATTTAATCGACAAACTCAATCCATTTAAGCAAAAGAGTCTTATGCCTATCTTTCAATTTTTTAACTCTTTCCATCCGGAAAAAATGACCTAGATTATCTCCTTTACTTTTGTTAAAGTCGTCCCAATAAAATATATCATTAAAAAAGGGAGAACGTCCTAAGTCCGATTTATCAATTTGCTTTAATCTTCTTTTAATGTACTTTTTAACGTAAAAATCGAGAGGATTTTTCTTGGTTACCGTAAAAAGATTCTGTTCTGATACAAAGAGACATCGATGCACTAGTCTCATTCCTACTTGAAATTTACGCCTCAAAATTTCTTGATGGGTTTTGGGTAATATTGGAAAGAGGGGAAACAGCCAAGCGATATGCGGGAAGGTATAGGCAAAAAAAACATGTTCGTAATACTGTTGTTGATAAAGATTTTTCCGATCTTAACCATTTCAATTTATCAAGCGATCTCTGTATATTCTCGACACACCTGTCAATCGTTGGCTTTAAGGACAATTTACTTGTCCAAGTAAATCCAAGATATTTAAAAGACATCACTATTTCAATCTTTTGTACATCCATGAAGATATTTATTGGAAGTATGGAGGAACAAATCCTTAATGTGATAACAGTATTAGTGATGTAACAAGCGTTTCTTCACATTCAACTGATAACGAGTTTCTTGATCATATAAAAATAATCATAAACAAAAAAGAAAAATAATTCTTGAAAATTTCTATGATCGCACAAATATTAGAAGAATAAAAGAAAAAAAAATACAATGATAACTATACTACCTCGTAAGTAGATCAATATCAAATTTACATTTTGAGAAAAATAATACATAAACGAATGAAACAAATAGATAATAGAAACTGACAAAATCTTGCACATATAAAAGGAAAAAAAGGTAGTTGCACGTCTTTAAGAACATTCTATTTTTTGTGATTGTTTAAAAAATGACTTTTCATTTTACAAATTTTCACATCAGATATGTTCATATAAGCATAAGTTATCAAACTAAGGATACTGCATTTTAATGACTCTCAAAAACAAATCCGTTTAAACACATTAATTTACTTTAAAAGAAACAGGAAATAACGAGTTATTGTTGAACGTAATGGAACGTGTTCAAGAAAATGTACGCTAAAATGTTTTCTTAGCTGATCTTTTCGTATTAATACATTTTTCTACTTTTGAAAGCGGTAAAGTTCATAAATTTTACTTGTGCAAATAGGTAAAAACGCGTAAGCGTAGAAAAAAGTTTTTCACGTTTAACGTACTCAGATATCTTGAACAAATTTTTTGAGAGTTTTTCTCTAATTAGGTGTGAGCTATATTGTTTGCGAGATAACTATAACTACTAGAATAATGAAATAATATAATTTACATCTGTACTGAGATTAGGAGTACCAATATTCTTCCAACTCTTCATTATTACATTAAAATTAAGGAGATATAGCTATA